TGCCCCATTTCCTCAGCCTCACTGAGGAGTCAGAAGGAAGTTGCTGCCGCCACCTGTCTGGCACAATGTTGACAGGTCCAGATAATAAAATAGCGATGTCAGCCTCCAGGTGGGACCTGGGGATCCCCCAGAATTACAGCTGATATCCAGACTACAGAGATCAATTCCCATGGGGAAAATGGAAGCTTTGGAGGGTGAACTCAATGGCATTGTCACCCACTGGGGTTCCTGTCCTCTCCAGGCTGCATCCCCAAATCTCCAGGAGTTTCATTGGACCACGATCTGCTGGCCTGGCCCTAAAGATGTCTGCTTAGCTTCAACCAGAGCCAGAGCCTTCTTGGCTCTAGCGCTGGCCTGGTGGAACACTCCCTGTTCAGATCTGAGCCCTACAGGACTTAATACAGTTCCACAGGGCCTGTAAAATGGATATGTTCCACAAGGCATATGGTTGAGGGGACAGAGATCTATTCACTGGGTATGAAGTACTACTGCAATCTTCCTTGAACTACAAAACAGTAGGGCAGTGCAACCTGCCAGAGGCTTGCTAGGTGGCCTTGGGGGAAGCCACTCTGCTTCAGCCTCGATCCCCCATCTATTGTGTTGTCGTGGTTAAGAGTGGCAGACTCTAATCTGGATATTGAGGTCTGATTCCCTGCTCTTCCATATGAAGCCTGCTGGGTGACCATGGGTCAGTCATAGTTTCTCTATTCCCCATTACGGTTTTATGTGCCATATTAAAGTACAATTCTAGGGTCAGCCATGGGCCCTTGCTCTAATGCCAGTCCAAATCGTCTGCTGTCTCAGTCACGACTGTTTCTAGAATTCTGATTTAAAAAGGGAGCCAACTAAGCTTCTAGTAAGTTCACTGCAATAAATGGTCAATGTGTATAGGCCAGGTTGCAGACCTCACCATCCATTACTGTTTTCCTGCCAAAACAATGGAAAATGAGGAGCAAATCCTTTGGTTACCATTCAGCACATACACCCCCCCCCAATCATGGACACCGAGGCTGGTTTCAGATACTAATACAAGTTCAGTGCTTTGGATTAATCTTCCTAAAAATAGATTTGCATTATTTTCTACTGACTGGTCAGATCATGAACTAGGTCAGGTGGACCTGAACAACAAAGATTCAAATGAACAATGAACACAATCTCCATCTCTTCATTCCAGCTGCCCACATCTATTGCAGGCCAAGTGTAACCTTGACACAACAAATGTGCATAAAGGTAATGCTGACATTAAAAAAAAATATACCAAAGCTAGATCCCCCCCCCGTTTTCAAAATTCATCAGGTACATGATTGTTTTTAGTAGCAGTGCAGAGGAAAGAGGGAGATGTTTGCACAGGTATGATTAACACTTCCTCCAGTTGCCAGTTTTCCCTGCAAGCTCTCAATATGCCCCCCCCCCCCGCTGGCTCATTTTCCTTCTCAGAAATGGTTGCAGCTGTGAAAAAAAATGCCTTGGTAGAAGAGCACTACAAGGACGAATTGGTAAGTAGGAAAGGGTTAAGCATCTGTTTGCTGCTTTTTCTCCAACAATTGTCTCCCTGCCCCTGAATAATAACATTATGAGGCAAGGACAGTGTTGGAAACCCCATCTGCCTCATAAAATATAATTTAATTTTTTTTAAGGATTAGAATCAAATAATTCTTTTAAAGAAATCAGTGGTTTGGATCCCTTGGAATATTTCTGCATATACAACATTCATTGCATGAGTAAAGTGCTAAAAACAAACTGGCAGACTGTCTGTGCTAAGTGTAAGGATATAGTGCAAAGTGTCCTTCTGTAGGGTCAACACTGTATATTCCTTTCTGTTGTGAGGGCGTCTTTCAGGAAGTCACAGTTACAACTTCCTCTATTTAAAAATGGCTCCCAAACAGGTCACCTGAGAGAGGGCTCAGGTTGTAAATTTTTAAATGATTTTCTGTATTATGAAAATACCCTTGTGCACAGTATGTGATTCATTGTGAATCTGGATTAGCATACCATTGAAAGTTGAATGAGAACATTCATTGTGTTCATGATCAAAGCACAATAGTTAGTGTTAGAGTAGCTCTTGAGCTAATGCTTGTGCAAGTGGAACTGCACTAAGTATTTCTTCCTTTTGACTCACACATCACTGGATCCAGCCCTATGTATTAACCTTACAATGTAGTATTTTCTATTGGGCTGCATTCAGATGCCATGATAAACTGGCTTGATCAAACCCTATTTAGTTTGAATGAAGATGGTTCAATACAGCTGGGATTTCAAAGTAGGATTGGTGGCTGATTTGCTAATCACAGTTTATACTAATGGAGACCTCTGAAATCATAAACTTCATGTTCCTGAGTACAGCCAGGGCTTTTTTTCTGGGGAAACGCACTGGAACAGAGTTCCAGAACCTCTTTGACAAAATTCTTTTAAAAATGCTGTAAAATCCATGAGTTTTCAGTATAGAGATTGGAAACTTCATTTCCCTCTTGAGAGTTCTGTTGTTCAGTCGCACAGTCGAGTCCGACTCTTCGCGACCCCATGGACCAGATCCCACCAGGCCTTCCGGTCTCCCGCCGTCCTCTGAAGTTTGCTCAATTTCATGTTCGTTGCATCGATGACACTGTCTAACCATCTCATCCTTTGCCGCCCCCGTCTTCTTTGACCTTCAATCTTTCCCAGCATCAGGGTCTTCTCCAGGGAGTGCTCCCTTCTCATTTGGTGGCCAAAGTATTTGAGCTTCAGTTTCATTATCTGACCTTCCAGGGAACAGTCAGGGTTGATTTCTTTTAGGATTGATTGATTTGATCTTCTTGCAGTCCAAGGGACTCTCAAGAGTCTTCTCCAGCACCATAGTTCAAAAGTTCTGAACCTCTTTAAAAACAAACCCTGAGTACAGCCATGCCTCAAGACCACAGAGAGGACTTAAGAGGAGGAGTGTGTCTGGGAGATAAAATAGAAACAGACAAATGGGGGGTTATTTTCAAATTGAGATTTGTTACTAATGTCTGGTAGATTACCAGAATTTCTTGTAGCAGGTATTATTTTAACAGACCACAGTTTATCTTAGTGTCTGAATCTTAGACATAAGAATACAGTTTGTTTTAACAAATTTTAATCAAGCGTTGTATTTTAAGTCCACTATATTTATGTCATGCAACCAATGTAACAAATGTAATCAGGGTAATGTTTGGTGATGATTTTGATTCCGTTTTCTGATCTTGGATTGTAATAAACTTGACTTGACATAGTGTCTGAATGCAGCCTTTATGTTTGTCAGCTGTAGCTAGGATACTTTTTTTGCTGTGTCATATTTTGTATTTAATCCTGGCTTTGTGGACACTAGAAGGATTTTCTCCACTGACATCACTGAAGGCAATACTTCCTTGTGTACGATTGGCTTTGTTACTGTTGTTAAGCATATAGCACATTCCAACATCCTTGGCAAGTTCACAAGGAGAGACTCTGTGTCATATAAGCAGATACAGAGAGGAATGACAACAATGAAGTTAACAGAGGCTGAATTAGCACTGGGTTGATTTATAACCGGTTTTATGGTGTAAGTGGGTGGTACCTCCTACCCAGCGACCTTGATTCCTTTGCACATTTTCTTACACACAACATGGCCGTGTGCACTTCCCAGGCAGTGTGCATAATTATGATCACCTTGCAAAACTACTTGTTTGCAACAATAACTGAACTCACCATTAATGCTGAAGATCTTGGAAGCAAGCTTTTCTGGAAACCCTAAGCACTGTTTGGCAGAGATGAAATGTAACCCAAATGCCAGGAAGAACAATGTTATCTTCCTGGTTTCTAGGAAACCTTCATTTCCCCTCCCTTTTCCATTACTCTTTCAGCCACTGTTCATTTCTATCAGTTTTTTTGAAATACCATCACTATGGCATGAAAGGTGAATGGAAGCCAGAGAGAACACCCTTCTTCCTATCCCCAGGCCTTTATCTTGCCACCTGAAGAACAGAATATGCCAGATCAGAAATGTCAGTGATTCAGGTTGTCTGCAATGGAACTAGAGTTGGCTAAAAGGGAGGGAGAAGCAGGACTGTTTGGTTTTTTGGCCCGTCTGCATTTGGCAATTGACTAGGATTTGATCAAAACCACTATTTGTGAAACATGATGTTAGATATGAGACCCGAGGCAGCAGGTGAACAGTGATAACAGCTTTATTTGAACACGAAGAACCAGAACGAGACAAACTATGGAGCAACAGGCTTCTTTTTAAACAGTCCGGGCTTGGCAAGCCACGCCCACAAGTCAGATAAGGTCCAATCAAATACTGTACATAAAAACCAATCATTTTGCTTCCCTCTAGAACTTCCTTTGTTCTGATAGGTCTATTTACAATACCTTTCTTGACTCAAGCTCATGCATTCATTACATTACATTACATTACATACACATGATTTATTGTGATGTCTGAACACTACCTGAGACTTGTAAGCAGACCTCATGTAATTTTGATGTCAGCATTCAGGAGCTAGATAGACTTCACAGAGATCATCAAAAGAATTAAAGATTTCAATAGCCAAGAAGAGAAGAAGAGCAGCCCAACATACAATAAAGCTTTCTCCTTCAGTTTATGGAGAATGAAGAACAATTAACATTTCCTTTTTTAAAAAAATGAAAAACCTACAGTGGTGGAACTGATTGTCCAAAGACTGGGAAGAGCCGGCCTCTGCCGTTCTGATCCAAGCTTCCATTAGCACTGCCAGCCGTTTGCATCCTTGGCAGGAAAAGTTTGCTGAGTTTATGCTGGCAGCAGAACAATACAAGGAAGTGTTTGTTGTGCCTTCTCGAGGCATGTTTTGATTATAAATTAATCTCTTGGGATATTACAGCTGCTTCAACTGGTTAATGAGTATCTTAACAGTACCTGCTACTCTTCCTTGTCCAAAGGCCAATTGATCTCTGAACTTATAAAACCGTCAAGACTAAGGCAGGAAAGCAGAGCTGAAGGAGAGCTATCCAGGTGAAACCAAATGCTGGGACTAACTGCAAAGATGCCAAAGAACCTTTTATCGTTTCTTCGCTTGTGTGTGCTCCTGCTCGGCTTTGCCGTTATCTGCTCAGGAGCCTTTTGCATCTCAACAGGCTCTTCTGCCTGCAAATGCAATAATGTGCCTATTGCGTATTTCCTATTGCCTTTGGGGTTCTTCCTTCTCATCTCTGGGATTTTCTGGAGCACTTATCACGAGGCCAGCAAACACAAGAGCTTATTCCACAGAATTATCCAGCAAAATCCTAGATTTCGAAATAGTCATATCAATACCATAGACAGGTATGTCTGATGTGGTTCAGTGTATGACTGTCTTCTGATACTACCCCCCCCCCCTTTTCCTGACCTGTGCAAGACTTTTCAGATCCACAGACACCTCCATCCTTTCCCCCGCTTTCATCCAGGTCTTCTTGCTGCCTTTCCTTCGTTTCGCTTTAGGAATACCTACAATGTGCCTTCCTGCAAAGTGCCTCTTTGTCCTTTGTATCCATCACCTTCCTGCCTATCCAGTAGTTCATTAATTTTCCTTTCCATCTAATTCACTTTACACATGCTTTTTATCATATGCTTCCCGTTCCTTGTCTTTCCATTTTACCAAACATCCCTGTTTCACCTCCTCATTGAACTATATTCTATATGTATATTCATATACATTTCTTTCTGTCAGGCCAGCTGGCAGTTTCTTCTAAAATGTCCCTTTTGCCTTACATCCTCTCCTTTAATTCATGCTCTTGAGCTTCCATCGCTGTTATTTAGTTCCTGGATATTTGTTTCGCATCAATCAATCAATTTGTTAAATATACGCCTGAAAACACCTAGCCTAAATGACTTTACAAGGCAGTGTATTATTCATCTGTCCTAATAATCTATTCCTTTCTTCTGTAGAATAATTAATATTTTATTCTAGAGCTGGCTTTTTAAGGACTTTCCTGGTTAATTAATATTATAAAAGGGTCCCAATTTTTTGTCTTCTGTCAGAATTGAGATTGTAAGAATGCCCTTGATCCTGTTTGTTGCCTAAAATCAAACTGACTCTAACTAATTTTAGTCCAGTCCTTCTTTGACTGAGACAGATATATATGGAAATGTGAAATGGTCCCACTGGGTATTGTGCTGGGAACATTTTCTGTCAATCATACTGTGTTATGAAGCTGCATAGTGATAGAAGATAAGGAAACCAGGTAAAAGCTGTAGTCAGCTTCCAGGTTAGCTGGGTAGTCTTGGATATGTTATTACCTCTCAGGCTAGCCTGTTGCGCAGAGCTGTTGTGAGCATGAAAGACCTCTCTGTCTACCTTAGAGGGACTGTAGCATGCACACAGACACAGGAAGTTGACCTGGATCTATTAAGGTCAGTATTGTCTCTGCTTACTGGCAATCGATCCTTAGGGTCCCAGGTTGAAGTCTTTCACTACCTGAGGCCTTTAACTGCAGCTGCTAGAGATTGAATCTAGGACATTCTGCATGGCAAGCAAATGCTCTACACCACTGCCAAAGTCCCACCCATACAACATGAACAAGTGTATAACCAAATTACTGGGGTTTCTAGATTGCTGTCTGGTGCCATACACTTTATTTCCAAATGCTGCTGGTACACAGAGTTTCATGATGGGAGAGATGGTTCAGACTGAGTCTATCTGAACCAAATACTGACAGCTGGGATGTAAACTTGTAGCAGAAGTAGTACGTGCATTTCTAGGAGCTAAATCATAATTCATATAGAAGTACCGTATGCATTAGTAGATTAATGTAAAATTATACATCCTGAAATCTGGGTCTTTCATTGTGGCTTAAACCCATAGGCACATTTGACCCTGAAGTATTTCCCCCACCCAAATAGGTAACTCAGATGTTACACTTTGTGTGTGCAAAGTGCCATCAAGTCACAGCTGACTTATGGTAACCCCATAGCGGCTTTCAAGGCAAGAGATGTACATTGCCTGCCTCTGTGTAGCAACCCTGGACTTCCTTGGTGGTCTCCTATCCAAGTACTATCCAGGGAAGACCCTGCTTAGCTTCCGAGATCTGACAAGATCGGGCTGGCCTGGGCCATCCAAATGAGGGCACACTTTGTATTGTTTAGTTTATTGCTTCAGTAATTCTCACAACAGAGCTGAAGGCTTCTCACAGCACAATCTGTCCCTGAGGTTTCTGTAAACATACCTACGTGAAGACTGAAGCTTTGACAGTGAACACTTCCTTAAGTCAAGCTGGGCTAACGCCTGGCAGAGTTTGTTAATGGACCATGGATAGAAATGTCACTTCCTATTCTGTTGTGGCAACAGTACCATAAACACTCACAATAGGCAAAGCAGCCACTCTATAAATACAGCCGAGCACATACTCTGGTTAGATAAGCAGGGAAGTATTTGGCAGTCTGAAAGAGCTTGTGGCCCATACTGCAAAATAAATCGCCCTGTACTATCAGCTTAGACAGAATAAATATTTCCTTTTCAAGTAGAGGGGGTCTAATAGAAGAAAAGGATTGGCAAACATCCAGGCAAAGATAAGGATCGTTTTACGACGGCAAAGTCTTATTACATCTTCACTAGAAAATACATTAGTAATCTTACAGGGAGGCCTGCATGCAAAACTGTTAGCCACACTCCTCCCCCCCACTTTTGATAACTTTACTTAAAACAGGCACTTTTGTTTCTTGTGGTCATGGTTGTGAGAGCCTACCTCTGTTTAGCCTTCAAATGAGAGGCCATTGTGATGAGCAGATACAGCCTTTGAAGAGCAGGGTGGGTGTTCCGTTGGGGGCTGATGCTAGCCCTTCTCAAGAGACCTCCAGCATGTCACAGTTCCACACAGAACTAACACAGCGTGTGTTTTTCTTGGTTGTTTCATGCAGGCCTGACTTCTACCCCCCATCTTATGAAGATAGCACTGATCCTGAAAAGCTGACATTCCCACTGCCAGACTGCCTACTGGATGGAGGAAGGAATTCCTACAACATACCTCCACCTCTGTACACAGAGAGCAGTCTGGAATTCATTGAGGAGGCCAGCTCTCAGGAACAACAACCACCCTCCTATGAAGTTTCTGTGCAGCAACAGCAAGCTACAGAACATGACTCAGCACTTCAAGAGACTTGTAATGCACCTGCGTCACAACCTTGATCAAACAGGTGTCTAAGCACTTGCAGAAGAGATAGGCTGTGTCTACTGTTCGGGGATAAAGGCAACAGTTAAGGACTGTGCCGTCCTATCCGAGTGTGAAGCAGTAGAGTGCCTTGTGATAGCAGCCTTCCATGGCTGGCTGTGTGGAATCACAGAGTCACTTGGTACTTGAAGATTCCTGGGGCTGCTACGGATATGAATGATGTTGCTCAGTACTAATGGTTGGTCTGTTTGTTTACATCTTATACTTTTATTATACCCGTTAAAGAAATGTCTGTAAGAACCGACATTCTCTTAAGAGCAGCAATAGAAGCCGGATGAGGTTTCAGAGGCAGGGCTCCTTTAGAAAGAAAACACAAGTGAAAAAAGAAAGCCACCACAAAGCAAGGAAATTGGGGAGGCCTATATATGTCTATTGAGAGACTGTTGCTAAGGAGCAAATGTATTCTAGCACTGGAATAAGAGGCTTCCCCGCAGCCCCCAACGCTGACATTTCTTGGACTGTTTTGGTAGGCATTCCTCTGTATAAAGGGATGGATCCAACAGGTCTCAGTTAGGTTATTTTGTAAGGCCAATGCGTTTGTGATGTGGCTGAAGCTATCTTGTTTACATACTGTTTAATATTGCCTTGCACTAACTTTTTTACAATAAAGTTTTGTATTTTAAAACAACAACAGTTCTGTTGAAAGTGGCATTTACTTGAAGAATGGGGTACATATCTGGTGACCAGACCAGAATGAAAGTGCAAACATAGCTTGAATACATTTGTCAGCGGAGCTTCAGAAAGTTTCAATCAGTTGCTTCAAGGAAAGAGACCCCCCCCCCAGTCTTTCAGTTCAGTAATACACCTTCCTTGAGTTGGCCTTACATCGGCATCTGCTTCTAAAATATCACATCAACTCATACCTATGGCAGAGACCCACCCACCCCCTTTCTAAAGCTACAGAAATCAATGTAAAACATCCACAGGTCATATGGCTAGCCCATATTTTCATCCTTTATTACACAGTTCAATGGAAGGTACCATTTCTAAGCTGGAGAATTTTCCTCAAGATTTTTCTGCTGTTTACCCTGCAAAATGCTACACAAATTTAAAAGCTAACACTTAGCATGCCAAAGTATTCTTGTGTGACCATATTCTTATGGTCAGTCACACTGCAGCTTAGACTGAGACAGAAACTTGTCCAGAAAACTGCAAGTTAAGCATGGAGCTAACGGCTAGGATTCTTGGGGCCAAACCATATTCTACCTCTCCCCTGTGCAATACTAATTTTCAAATCTTTTCATTTTTTAAATGAACTTGCAGCCTGCAGCTAAGGCATGACCCTTACCAAAACAGAAAGAAACATGTAAGTAGTTTCTATGCTCTGGATTTGGGTTTCACGGTGCAACCACCCTCCACACACATCATCCTCACCCTGCATGCCACTTTTGAAATGGAAAGGAAATTCAACAGCAATTAGTGTAGCAGAACAAATTTAGAGTCCAGTGGCACCTTTAAGACCAACAAACATTTATTCAAGGTATGAGCTTTCATGTGCAAGACACACTTTTTCAAATACAGTGGAATGGGAGGTGGGTTCAAATTTATAGGCAGGGACTTAACAGCAAATTAACATGTAACATGATAATGTTTAAGGTATGCAAAGTCAGAACTAAACAACAAGCTAAGGTTATAAGGTCAGCAGTTGTAAAGCAATAAATCTGTCAAAGTAGCAGATAGAGATCTAAAGGTATATTTTCTAATTGTGGGAAGCAAACTGAGAATCTGCAGTCTCTCCTCCCAGGCACTTTTTGAGGTGGATGTAGTGCCATGTCAACAAAACATCCCAATATTCCTTGCATTACATTCAGTATTCTAATATACTATTCTGAAAAAGAAATGCACTAAAATACAGAGGATTTATAGTCCTTGTTGTTGTGAATACATATGTGAGGACTGAGGGTGATTCTGCATCGACTTTCCCTCCGTTGTTTTAGGAAACCCACCTTGGAACAGAAGTTTCCCCTCTGCATTGCACGCTGCTTTCACTTTCTTTAATCATTGGATTTTATGGAACTCTCCAAACTGCATGCCACTTTCACTTTCTTTGATCATCGGGTTTTATGGTACCTTCTGCATAGATTTATGGCTGTTCAGGGGTGACTTTGTAGTCAGTACCCATTGCCCCGGGGTATACCAGAAGAACATAAGAGAAGCCAATGTTAGATCAGGTCAATGGTCCATCCAGTCCAACACTCTCATACAGTGGCCAAAAATATGAGGTGCCTTTGAATGTGATTTTGAGCTGCACCTTTTCCTCAGTGTTGAGAAAATGTGGAGTGAATGCCAGATGCAGAATTGCCCTGAATGAATTAGCATGTGTAATGAGATAAGAAACCAGTATCCCTGTTGAGTCCTGGGAAGGTTTTTGTTCCAAGTGTTGTCAGCGATTCGAAAGCTTCGGCAAGTAGATAAATTGGGGACCACCCGTAAGGGGGTGGGCACACCACTCTCCTTGGAGGTGTTAGCTGCCAGGACTGACATTTGCGGCGTGGCAAGATCAAAAGTGGGAAAAATCTGTTTCGGCATTCCCTGCAGTGGAGCAAATCGGCCAGGCGGTGGCAGTGTGGCAGTGCGACATCAAGAGCCCTGACGTAATCAGCCAGCCGACAGAATACATGCCGTCGGGACATGACTGATACAGCCTGCAAATGGATCCTCCGACTAGCTACAATGTGTGTGCGATTAAATATTGTATGTTGTCTTCCCTATCCCCCACGAATATATTGTTAGTCCATTGTCTCTCTGAGTAACTGTAAATCGCTCTGAGCCCGCATGAGTGGGAAAAGCGATCAATAAATTGAAATTATTATTATTATATTATTAAATGAATGAGATAAAATGAACCAGTGAGCTTGTAATGATGGTATAAACCAAAAGCTGTTCTGGGTAATGCCAGAAGTGAATCCAGATTTGCAGCAGTAGCTGGTCTGAGCCCAATTCTTGCAATGGTGATAAGTTTGCTTCTTCTATACTTTGGTCTACAATTACATCATTTTATAAGGCTTGCAATAGCAGCTATGACACAGCTGTCAGGAACTGAATAAACAACAGTTCTGGGTTTTTTCAGTGTCCCCTTGCTCTTCACAGCACACAGATACAGGTACTTGTTTTTTTAAATGAACAGAACCTTTAGTGTATTAAAGAACAGAAAGCCAAATGTGCCATTCAATGAGGTTGATACGATTTTTAACTTTTTTGGCATTCTGTAGTTCTGAGAATATACACCAAGTGAATAGTTTATGGTAAAGACTAAAATTTACAGGTAAGAACTGGTGCTTTGATGAGAGCTGGAGTATGTGGCAGAGGCAGTAGAGATTGGATTGGGGTGGGTGTAGCAATCATCATCTAGGGTGGAGAGGAGGTTTAAGCTTCCCCTCCCATGGCATAGACCCAGTCCATATCAGAACCTCATGAACCAGTTATTGAAAATACATATGAGAAGACAACAGAATTACACCCTTCTAAGCCCATTGACCTCAATGGACTTAGTAGGCATAACATTGTTTAAGATGTCATTGCAAGTTGCTCCCCTCTCAACAATCTGTGCCTTTTGGAGCATTTTCAATCCTCATCAGACTGGGTTACTTTACACCATTTCCCCTGCATACCTGGGGAGTTCCCTGAGGAGGTAGAGAACCCTTACTTTTTCTGTGGCACTGATTTTGTTATCCAGGGGCCAGCCAATTTTACTATCATATATAACAAGAAAGGGGACCCGTGATACTCACGGGGGGTGGAGAAGAGCTCCAGGCAGAGGAGGAGGCGGAGGAAGTAGCAGCAGCAGCAGCAGGTAAGCCTTTGCCAATCTCCTCCACCCCCCTCCCCTGGTCTCCTCTTCCCCCCCTCCCCCGGTC